CAGCATCACTCTAATACCCAAACCAGGTAAAGACACTTCACCATGATCAAATAGGCTTTATTTTAGAGATGCAGGGATGGTTTAATATATGCAAGTCAGTGAATGTCATTAATCATATAAATGGACTCAAAGACACTAGAACCTTAAAAGAGAATAAGCATTGCTTAGTATTCCCAGGAAAAGAATTATCACAACAGATGGAAAAGTTTTTATTTATTTATTTATTTATTTATTTATTTATTTATTTATTTTGGTCTATATAAAAGTCAGGAGCCATGAAGCCTCTCAGACAAGTCACGTCTCAGGCAGGTCATGTGCTGGTCAAGAATTCCAACCTGCCGATAAGTAAGCTTCATGGCCAACTCTCTAATTAGTGAGTTTCATGGCTGAGACATCTCCAACTCACTGATAAGTAAGTTTTATGGTTGAAACATCTGGCTTAATGATAAACAAGCCCCCCCGCTCTCCCTATAGCATTTTGTAATAGTTTAAACTAACCAATAACCACGCTTCTGCTTCTGTAAACTGCTTCTGCCCTATAAAGACCCCAAACCCCAGACCGGCAGAAAAGTTATTTGTTAATGCTATTATATCTCATAATTATTTTTTTAAAAAGATGAAAATGTAAAAGATGTTAAAAAGGTCTGCTGTTAGATGAGGAAAAGCTGACCTTCCTAAAACAAAGACCTCTAGATAATAGGCTGACTAGATTCAGCAGATAGACAAGCACTGGGGAACCACTGGGGCACCGATAATTCAGTGGAGAGTAACAGGGATGACAGAGTATATGGGCCCCAGTGGGGGGAGGGGAGGTTATGGGAGTGTGCCATTTGGGAAGTGGGTATATAGATGAATAAGATTGTTCGAGATTATCACACACACACACACACACACACACACACAAATCAACAAATTAAATAAATGAGTTATATTTGAAGAGGCAGCATAAAAATTACATCATGTTAAGTAGCAGAGGTGATAAACATTGCCATTGAAATCTACCCTATGACTTTATATCCATACACAGGTGCCAAAGGACCCGAGTGCAACCGACCCTGATTAGTAATAATCAGATACATACAGATTAGAGATGCGTGCACCAACACCTAAGTGTTATTAGCAAAATCAATGTCTTTCTGTAAGAAACAGTATATTTTAAAATGAAATGGAGATCTGTTTTAAAGGTTAAAAACTCATTCAATTTTATTTCTTACAGGGTTTATACTGAGTTCAATATTGTATAACTGTATTAATTCAACAGTGAACCTAAAAATTTTATAGCCGCTTTTGAAAGAGCTGTATCTCTGCTCTGGAAATTGTTATTGAGCACGTTAAAGCTGTAATGAAATGCTTCTTCCAAAAAATTTTCAAAAAAATTTTTAAAAAAGCATTACCAGTATATAAAGGATGAGACAAAAATAAGATACACATATTCTTAAAATTTCTAAGGTCATAGTTTAATCAACTAGTTTAAGGAATAAAATATATATCTAGTCAAGGTTTATCTTTGTCTACATAGCACATGGTAATTAAAAGTACCAGACTGGTGGAACTAACCTTCTTGGTTGTTTAACAGCCATACTTTGAGACCTATACTAATCTGGTCAGAGGGACTGAAAGGGCAGTTTTTGCCCTTTGCCCTCTAAGGTCGACTAAGTTCCAGGGGACTATGGAACATCTCTCAAAGTGTCCTGTAACTGTGGTGACTCACCTGTCCTCTTGTTCAGGGAGGACAAGGGGACCCCACGATATGTACTTGAACCAGTGTTCAGTCAACAAAGAGGAGGGTCAACTCAGAGGAAACATCTCATCTATGCTTCCACATGAAGCCAGATGGTTGAGCAGGACGTTTGACTTATCTTCACATAGATGGAACTGGTCAGGGGCTCCTCCCAAGCCCATGTGACCTCTGAGGAACAGTTCCTCAAATGACCTTAAGTGTGAAAATAAATTGATTTATTTGGGCCAAGTGTATGGTTTTAAATGCCCAAAAGGAAACTATAATCAAAGCATAAAGTCATCAGTATATTTCTTTAAGAGTTCAAGGGATTACATTTCCCAGACATTAGGCTTAAGTTCATATAAAAGATTAGACAATTATTTCTCATTGATGATTTTGTTCCTAATCAGAAAGTGCTGCTCAGATGTAAGACTTCAAATCTTGGTCTGCAATACTGTAGTGTCCACCTGTAGCTAAGGGAGACAACCTGCTCCAAATGTTGGATAAATTTGTTTTCTCCCTCTAGAGGGAGACAACCTGCTCTAAAATGATGGATAAATTTGTTTCCTCCCTCTATCTAGAAGCCTTTGAGAGGGAACTGACACTGATTCTAACCACTCCAACAGCTATCAAAATATGTGAAAGCAAATCCTGAATCCAACACTCTCTAGTCCAGCCTTGACAGACAAAAGAAAAATGAGGAGGAACCCAATAGAGGGATGCTTTCAGAAGCTCTTGTCAAGAAATTCCAATGGACTCTCATATGAACATTTGAAAATTGCCTTGTTCTGACTTTCTTCTAGTTCCCTGTCTAGAACTTGTAATGCTAATTACTCTTGCCTTTACTTCTCCTTCACATCTCCTATTCACCAGTCAAGGACTTTTTTCCCCCCTACAAATAAGAGTTATGCAATTTGGGAGTCTTTTAGATAGACCCACTGAAGGGGTACTCCAATTGCTTCACCCTGCATCCCTGTTCAGCATGGAAGAAACCAGAGCAGTCTGTATTCTGATTACCTATCTGCAAGTTGGGTAACCTCTTCAGAGGATGGTGTGATAAGAATAGGAGGTAGGAATTGGCTAGGTAGTTAGGGTAAAAAGACCCCCAAAGAAAAGTAGCCAGTTTCTTGGCTAAAACTCACAATGTCCTTGGGTCTCTTAGCAACATCTTTTGTTCCAAAGACCAAAAATGTCAAAAGTATTTGGGAGTTTTTGTTTAATCTTTAAAACATTTTACAGTTACCTCTTCAGAGGGGGGCAATGTTAGAGTAGCCAAAAGCCCCATAAAAAATAAATAAAAGAAAAAGGAAGAGGAACAAATGAAGTTGTCAGAAAAATATGATGGGGAGATATGGGAGGAGTTGGAGAGGAGGGAGTGGGCATGGGTTTGATCAAAACACCTTATATGCATGTATGAAATTCTCAATAAATTATTTTTTTAAATGACCTTGTGCCTGATCTCTTATGTTAACAAAGCTGATCTAAAATTATACATATATCATTATTTATTCCAATGCAAAGTTACATGAAGTTCTGACTTACAAAAATGTGATAAAAATATTAGGCCAGCAAGATGGATCAACAGGCAAAGGATTTTGTCACCAACCCTGATGACCTGAGTTCATTCCCAGACCCCACATAATAGGAGAGAGCCAAACACCAGAAGTTGTCCTATGACCGCCATACATGTGCTAAGGCACACCCTCTTCACCCCCATACACAAAAAAATAAAGTCACAAAAATGTGATTAAAAATAAAGTTTCCTTTATTTAAAAGCCTTTTAACAAATAATAATGAATTTTTGCTTTTTGGTGGTGAGTCTGAGCTTTTAACGGCTGTGCCAGCTCTCCAGCCCAAATTTTTATGTTTTAAACAAATTCTGATTCTTTTCCTTTAATGGGAACATTCTGTTTATCATAGTAAGCTATGCCCTTTAAGATTTTAAATCATTTAGTGTGACACTTATTTTTTAATATTTTATTTTTATTTTATGTGTATGCGTGTATTGCCTGCATGTAGGTAAGTGCACCTGTGTCATGCAATGCCGGTGGAGGACAGAAGATGCTGTCAGATCCCTTGGACTGGAGTTACAGACAGTTGTTAGCTGACATGTGGGTGCTGGGATTTGAACCCGGGTCTTCTGCAAGAACAGTCAGAGTTCTCAATCACTGAGCCATCTCTCCAGCCCCTGTGGCACTTATTATAAAATTATTTCTAGACTTCCACTGAGTGTAAAATATAAAATATATTCATTACCAAACAAATGGATTTTGTTTAGTTTTTTTTTTTTTTTTTTTTTTTTTTTGAGATAAGGTTTCCCTGCAGCCCCTGTTGGACTGGAATTCTCTATGTAGACCAGACTGGTCTCAATCTCAGATTTCTGCCTGCCTCTGCCTCCCAAGTGCTGGAATCAAAGGCATTGTGCCACCATGCCCAGCTCTGGGTTTGTTTTTATATTATTCTGTGTTTAGATTCTTCTAGAGAAAACGTCTCTGTAACTTCTCGTGATTGAGTGCAACCTCTAAGAAAATAATCTATCCTGGCTCATTTATGTGAGGACTCTTTTTTATAGAACTGTATAATTATTTTTATCTTTAATGTCCAGTTTTTGTAATGTAAAGGTCAGAGTTTTCTTCTGGGCTCAGTTTTATAGGTTCTCAGTTGGTTGGTGATTCTCTAATTTTGTCTCTGGGAAGACTTAAAGCCTTCAACAGTCATCTCCTTAAAAGGACTTGTGCTCTTCATTTTTCCAGCTTTTCATACTCCTCCATCCTGGTCTGTGAGAGACACAAACTCAACACCGTTCTATACATTTTTTTTTCCTTTCAACATCTATCTGGACAGTGTGTTTGTGCCTTGACCCAGGAATCTTCAGTACTAAGCTCCCTTTCTTTTTCTAAAATATTTTAAAAATATTTTGTGATTTTTATTTTATGTGTATGAGTGTATTACCTTGCATGTCTTATGCAATGCCCACAAAGGTCTGAAGAAGGTGTCAAATCTCCTGGACCTGGAGTTAAGGATGGTTGTTAGCCATCATGTGGGTGCTGGGAACCCAACACAGGTCCTCTGCAAGAGCAGCCAGTGCTCTTAACTGCTGAGCCATCTCTCCAGCCCCTAAGCTTCCTTTTGATAGCATCCACTAAGCCTGCTTCAGCCATATTGACCTTATAGTAAACCCAGTTGATTGCAAGATTTTGGAAAAGGATTAATAGACTGGAAATACAAGTAGACAAAATGGAGTGTTTCCTTAAAAGGCTAAAGCTATGACTGCTATTACATAACTAAAGTTTTTTATTTTTTCTTTAGCCCTGCCTGGCTTGTAGCTCACATAAACCTGTATGCCTCTACCTCCCAAGTGCTGGGATTAAAGGCACTATACCTAGCAAAACCATTTAATTTTTTAGCAGATATTAAACTGATAAGAACAGATACTATACTTGATCTTAACCAAAAGTCCGAGAAGCAATAATAAAAAAAAACACTTAATTTTTAAGATTGAAAGAGAATGCACACATCAGCATCTAGTTCTTCATAATGTGAAGCTTTATAAAAGACCAGTGTCAACTGAATTGGTGTATGCTTCCTTGTAGAGGAGACTTAAACAGGATTTCATGGTTAATAATTTCCTCTAGAAAACTACAATTGTTGAAAAACAACAACACTCAATGGACAGTGGCACACCAGTGAGAATCTTTTACACCAGGCTGGCCACAAAGCCAGAGACCTGCCTGCCTTTGCCTCCAGAGTGCTGGTATCAAAGGCATGTGCCACCATGCCCATTCTATAAGAAATATTTTTAAACAATTTTCTACAATGGCCAGATTTGTGCTAGAACATTATAAAATAGCATATTAACAGGGTAAGGTGGTGAGAAATCCACTGTTCTATTTTATTCTGATCAGAGACCTTTGTATCTTTTATGTAATCCTTCACTTTCTGAATTTTCACTTGAAACCTACCAGTGAGAGACCTGAGTGACTCCATCTTGGATAAAACCTCCATAGGACTGATCCAGCCCAGGGCCCTGTTCCAAGAAAAACCACAATACCTGGAATGGATAGAGAACAACTCCCCCGCCAATGGTCAATTAACCAGGGACAGGGAGGTACTAAAAGTCCAGATGTCTTTTCAGATTTCCTGAAGCTAGCAGTTTATGGTTTGGCACTAGGATGCAACCAATCAGATGTTTGCCAGGCTGAAGATCCCCTACTCCCCTACTTGCTGAACTTGCTGAAATAAACCTATAAAAACCTCTGTCTCCCAAAGCAAGGGGTCTCACATCTGAGATCCACTGAATTGGTGACAGACTGGACCCAAGCTTAAGCTTGCAACAATGAAAGAACTCTTGTGTGTTTGCATCGGTTGGCTCCTTGGTGGTCTTTGGGGGTCTCCCGAACTGGGCACAACATCTTGGAGGCTCGTCTGGGATCCCCAAGACTGCCTGGGACTCCCAAACCAGAGTGTTCTTGGCTGGCCGGTAAGTGTCTGTTTGTTTCTAGTTGTACCTGTCTGTGTCTGTCCTAGCTTTTGTTCTGAGCCTCGAGGCAAACTTGTGAACAGTGTGGTCAGGAGCAATTGAAGCAGAGGCACTATGTGACCATGACCACAGAGGTCTGGAAGATGATCCAGACCTTGGCAGAGGGGACAGAGGATCCTGGACTCTGTTGATTTCTGTGAAAGGACAAGGCGGGTTGCTCCCGTGGCACAGCAGTTTGCCGCTGTCCTACTTTCAGTTTTTCTTCTGCATGAGCAAGGGAATTTGTTACTTGGCCTTCTGTGTGTCTTTCTGGCTCTCTGTTTTGTCTTTGGTTGTCTATTTCTCTGTGACTGAGACTGATGCAATGGGACAGACTCCCTCTACACCCCTGGACCTGGTTCTTGCACATTTTAGAGAGGTTAAGACTTGAGCTCATAACTCTTTGTTGTTGTCAGGAAGGATAAACTAATTACTTTCTGCAGGTCTGAATGGCCCACTTTCTGCAGGTCTGAATGGCCCACTTTCAATGTGGGATGGCCCTTGGAGGGGATCTTTGATCCTGCTGTCATTAACCTGGTTGAGAAAATTATTCTTCAACCACGTCTGGGACACTTGGATCAAATATCATACATAATAGTCTGGGGAGATTTAGTTAATAACCTCCCTGCTTGGGTCAAGTCTTTTCTTCCTTTACAGAAAACTGAGGTGCTAATGGCTGCAGAATAGAAAATGACAACCCAGAAAGCACCTAAACCTGAAATCAAACCATCAGTACCATCACTGTACCATGTCTTAGAGGGAAGCACAGAAGAAGATCTAATTTTTCCTCCCCCTCCTTATCCACCTCCTCCACAGGAGGTACCCCCTCTGGAACCAGCACCCCTGGTACCATATTCTTCACAGGCACAGGGGGGGACTGGCTCAGGGGACTAGGAGTAGAAGGGCAGCAATACTGGAGGGTCCAGATTCTACTGTTCTACCTCTCAGAGTCACCATCCCCGCAGATGAGGCTGGCAACCAGCCCCATCACTATTGGCCATTCGCCACTAGTGACCTTTACAACTGGAGAGCCCAGAATGCTCCCATTTCTGAAAATCCTAAGGAGCTTATTAATTTATTAGAAACTGTCTTATTCACACACCAACCCACTTGGGATGATTGTCATCAATTATTACAGGTCCTGTTTACCACAGAGGAAAGGGAACATATCCAAACAGAAGCCAGGAAGTTAATTCTTGGCAATACTGGTGTCCCTACTACTGACCTGACACTGATTGATGCTGCCTATCCACTGACCCAGGCTGATTGGGACTATAATACTGCAGAAGGTAAGGGGAGGCTTCTCGTTTACCACCAGGCTCTGTTGGCAGGTCTCAAAGTGGCTGCTTGTAGGCCAACTAATTTGGCAAAGGGATACGGTAGTAGTCAGGAACTAAATGAAAGCCCAGCTGCGTTCTTGGAGTAAATAATGGATGCCTTCCACAGGTACACTCCATTAGACCCAGAGACCAAAGATAATTTAGCGGCAGTAGCCATGGCTTTTGTTAACCAGTCGGCTCTGGATATAAAGAAAAAGCTCCAAAGAGTGGAGAGACTGGGTCAGAAGAGCTTAAGGGATTTAATAACTGTGGCCAAGGATCCTGCTGGCTGCCACTGTGGATCCAGAGGACCGGTGGAGGCATCTGAGACAGATAGCATCGGGGAAAGGAGATAAGGAAGACTTTCAGAAAAGAGGGCGACCTCGACTAGGGAAAAATCAGTGTGCATATTGTAAAGAAAAGGCCATTGGGCTAGAGAATGAATCCATAAGAAAAGCCACACCAAGGTACTCAACCTTGGGACAGGAGATAGTAACTAGGGGTTTGCTCCCCCTCCCCGAACCTACGGTAACCCTAAAGGTGGAGGGGAAACCCACCAGTTTTTTTGGTGGATACAGGAGCCCAACACTCAGTGCTCCTCAAGCCCAATGGCCTCCTGTTAAACAAAATATCATGGGTCCAGGGTGCCACGGGAATGAAACAATATCCATGGACTACCTGAAGAACAGTGGATTTGGGAATGGGCTGGGTATCCCATTCTTTTATGGTCATACCAGAATGCCAATACCCCTTGCTGGGGCAGGATCTGTTGACAAAATTGGGAGCCCAGATACATTTCTTGTCAGAAGGTACCCGAATATTAAACAAATCAGGAGAGCCCATCCATGTGTTGACCACTACCTTGATGGATGAATATTGTTTATTTGAACCCGCCCTGACACCAGATTCGATGATTGAGGCCTGGATGGAGAGATTCCCCTCAGCACGGGCTGAAACCAGAGGGTTGGGGTTAGCTAAACATCAGGCTCCAATCTTTGTGGAACTAAAACCAGGAGTTGATGCAGCCAGAATTCATTAGTATTCAATGTCCTTGGAGGCCCAATTGGGCATCACTCCTCATATCAGGAGGTTATTGGATTCAGGGGTTTTAAGGCCCTGGCAGTCAGTATGGAACACCCCCCTGCTGCCAGTAAAGAAGCCCCATTCCAATGATTATAGGCTGGGGCAGGATCTTCAGGAAGTGAACAAACAGGTTATGGACATTCACCCTACAGTGCCTAATCCTTATACTTTATTAAGTGCACTCCTGCCAGAACATCAATGGTATACAGTTCTAGATTTAAGAGATGCCTTCTTTAGCCTTCCCTTAGCCCCGAAGGGTCAAGACTATTTTGCCTTTGAATGGTATGACCCAGACAAAGGACTTAATGGGGAATTAAAGTGGACTAGGCTTCCTCAAGGATTTAAAAACTCACTGACCATTTTTGATGAGGCAATACATGAGGATCTGGGTGAATATTGGTCTCAGCATTCCCACCTTAGTCTCTTTCAGCATGTGGATGAGTTACTTGTGATGACAGACAGCCAAGAGGCTTGCATGGATGGCACAGAACACCTGTTGCAGACATTGGGAAGCCTGGGCTATCGGGCCTCTGCTAAAAAGGCCCAACTATGCAAATAACAAGTCCAATACTTGGGCTTATATACTCAAAGAAGGTAAGAGCTGGCTCTTTGAGGCCTGAAAAGAAACTGTCCTCAGGATCCCTACCCTGAGGAGCCCACTCCAAGTACAAGAGTTCCTAGGGTCTGTCGGGTTCTGCAGGTTATGGATACCAGGTTTTGCAGAGATTGCTAAACCCCTCTATGAGGCCACTAAGGAAAGGCCAGGAAAATTTTCCTGGACAGAAGCTCACCAACAATTATTTGAGGCATTAAAACTGGCCCTACTGTCTGCCCCTGCCCTCGGGCTACCTGATGTGACTAAACCATTCCACTTGTTCGTGGACGAAAATAAGGGTGTGGCCAAAGGAGTTTTGACCCAACCGATCGGTCCATGTCACCGTCCTGTAGCCTATTTTTCTAAAAAACTGGACCCAGTGGCTGCAGGCTGGCCCCCATGTCTCCGCATTATTGCTGCCATAGTACTACTGGTAAAAGATGCTGACAAACTGACTTTGGGCCAGAATTTGACCATTACCACACCACATGCAATTGAAGGAGTTTTAAAGCAGCCCCCGACAGATGGCTAAGTAATGCTCGCATAACTCATTATCAGGCATTACTTCTTAATCCTGCTATAATCACCTTCCAGGTACCAGTTACCCTAAATCCAGCCACGCTCTTGCCAGACCCAGACTTGGATGCCCCCTGCATGATTGTGCCAGAATCCTGGCCCATGTCCATGGTACTCAATTAGATTTGAGAGACACTCCGTTATCTGATGCTGAAGTAACCTGGTTCACTGATAGGAGTAGCTTTGTCCAGGACAGCGAGAGGTATGCAGGGGCAGCTGCAGTATCATTAACCAGCATCATTTGGGCAGAGCCTCTGCCCACTGGCACTTCAGCTCAAAAGGCTGAACTTATTGCCCTAACTAAGGCGGTCATATTGGGAAAGGACAAAAAGCTTAATGTGTATACAGACAGCTGATATGCCTTTGCCATCACACACA